AAAATGTTGTCTTGGTACCAGAAATCCCTCGTAAAGTTTCAGCTTCCAGTTTTCATTTAGCAGCTTTATGACCCTCTTGTTCAGTTCTGATCTAGGGGCATTTTGGGGATTTCACAGTGAGTTTTTTTCGATTCCGTCCATATAGTTAGGTAGAAAACCCGATTTTAGGGGGGGTTTCTTCTTCGTGTTTTTCCAGAAAAACTCGTTTTGACCTCCGTTTCAAGCCTCAGTTCTGGGCAGATCAAAAAAAAAATGTAGCAGCAACCAAGGGCTGCCACCAACCATGTCTTTGGGCGCAGGCATGCATGCCGGTGGGCTCGTGCATGGGCGCCGTGTGCGCCATGGCCCCTCGTCGGGCCGCCGCGACGTCAATTCTTCTGTTGGGCTTTTCTTCTTTGTCCGGACTCCGATTCAAGTGAATTTTTTTTTAACTTAACTAATTTTTCGCTGTCTTTCCAACGGTGTGCTCGGTTGCACTCGGTTCTTCCTGGATAATTACCAGTTTACCCTTTTTGCTTTAAGTGCTCGTTTTTCTTAGTCATGCCGTTTCTCCTTCGTTCGGACTCCGAATTATGCGATTCTTGAGTCCATCTTGATTAGTTTTTTGTTGTCCTTCCAGCGGTGTACTCGGTGACACCCAAATCTACAGTTTTCAGAAATGACTATTTTGCCCCTAGGGGCTTATTTGTCATATTTTCGATCTTTTGCTTCCGTATCAGTTCTTGTTGAGTTCCACGACCTCATAGAAGGTCACTTTGACTTCTTAGAGTCTTGTTTTCTGTTTTCGCTTCCGCATATCGAATCCGTTATCGGGTCAATCTTCGGTTCATCACAGGACACACTGGCCTAAAAACCAGGGTCGTCACATATCTATACCTTTAATAATTAAAATTTCATTACTTTAATTAACTAAAATTAATTTATTAAAATTCCCAGCATGGTTTCTATACTCCAAAATAACCTAAAGAAATTAAATAATTAATTTATGGATTCAAAGGGGAAAAGTAGATAATAACTTGCCTTATGGATTTGAAACAAATCCGCCGGTTGCGCGTAGTCGGGTAAAATCGCCTACACCGGTCCAAACTTCTTTTTCTCTCTTTTCCTTTTACTCTTCTAAAATGGCTCACTGTTATTTTTTCCTTTCTCTTCTACTTATGTGACTTGCTTCAAAGTAGCTAACTAATATATACTAACTTATATAATATAATTATTACAAATATCTAAATTTACATTAACTATCAAAACTTCCCACCTAATTTAATTCAAGGCAATTAAATCTAAGTCAAATAATTGGCATAAAATTCCACCCTAATATCTAATTTTCATCATGACATAATATTATTATTATTATTATTAAACAAATGTAATACTTTAATTAACTAATATTAATTAATATAAAACATAACCAATAAAATTTCTAAACTAACATGATATAATATATAGAACATAAAAATGAATATTACATGCACAAATAAATAAATAAATTTAATAATTTAATATATACAATTAATATTAATTTAATAATTTAGCATACACAATGAAAAGGTGAATAAATCTACACATTAAATAATTAACCTAATACCGAAGTAATTTAAATAAATCCTTTAAAAATACGGGGTATTACATTACTACACTTAGAAAATTTGATAGTCCAAGCAATTTTGCTCATACCATCTTTCTCGAGTTACTACACTTAGAAAGCGTGAAGGGGCACCAGGCCAAACCCCAAAATTTTCTTTTAAGTTGCTACACTTAGAAAATTTGGCGGTCCAAGCAATTTTACTCATACCACCTTTCTCGAGTTGCTACACTTAGAAAGCGTGAAGGACACCAGGCCATACCCTCAAATTTTCTCTTGAGTTGTTACACTTAAAAAATTTGGCGGTCTAAGCAATCTTGCTTATACCACGTTTCTCGAGTTACTACACTTAGAAAGCGTGAAAGCCACCTGGCCATAACCCAAAATTTTCTCTTGAATTGCTACACTTAGAAAATTTGGCGGTCCAAACGATTTTGCTCATACCACCTTTCTCGAGTTGCTACACTTAGAAAACGTGAAGGGTTACCAGGCCACACTCCAAAATTTTTTCTTGAGTTGCTACACTTAGAAAATTTGGCGGTGCAAATAATTTTGCTCATACTACCTTTCTCGAGTTGCTATACTTAGAAAGCGTAAAGGGCCATCAGGCCACACCTTAAAATTTTCTCTAGAGTTGCTACACTTAGAAAATTTAGCAGTCCAAATGATTTTGCTCACACCACCTTTCTCAAGTTGCTATAATAAAAAAGCGTGAAGGGCCACCAGGCCACGCCCAACTATCTTTGTAAAAATTTACAAAATCCTACCAAGTAGCTCATATGCATTCCGTAGGCTAGACACATGCTGAATAAATAACACAACCGCAATATCTCGATGTCTGTGCAGAGCCTCCTCTAACAATGGGATGAGAGGTTGAGGAATTGTCACCCCCATGAACTCCCCAGTCGATGGTACAACATCCCTCTCGGCCATCATTTTTATACGACTAGCCTTCTACAAAGTCCACCCATACAAGGGGACTATATAAAGGATTAACATTACACAGACCACACTTGTGTTACAATGTTTCAAGCTGGCCACTTGGCTTGTATACTTACTCACACTTCCTCATACCAGTGCTCTAGCGCACTTGACTGTGCTAGTACTCACTTACACTTGACCATGCCAGTACTCATTCGTACTCAACCGTGCTAGCACGGACTAACTCGTGCTTGGCATTTGTTTCGCAGTGTTTCCTGCCATCTGCTTGGCTTACACACTCATTTGCACTCGACCGTGCCAGTACTCACTTTGTTATTGTATCCTCAAATTCATTTGTCTCCTCTTCCTGCAAAATTGAATTAACAAAATATGTTAGTTTGTTTACTTATTAATGGTACAATAAATATGGTAATTTTTTTATTTATTAATAACAATCATTAATATGGTCATTTCGGATTTAAAATTTAGCAGTTCTTCCATAGAGCAATTAGTGAATGTTCCACATCGATTATAAATTATGACAGCTGCTTTTGTAGTATCATCTTTAAATTCCAGACGGATCGCAAATCTACATTAATTTTTATTTATTTTATTAACTATCAATATGTTTTTTTTGTTTACTAATATAATAAGAACATTTCAATATGTTTTTACCTTTTGAAGCACTTCGGATATTTTATGTTGCAATTTTCACAAACTGGCGGATTATCATCTTTTTATTTGTTTTTGTTATTATTTTTTTCTTGCATTTGTTGCATGCGTTATACCATAGCTCCTTTTTATTTTGTACTTTTTCAGGCTTCAGAAGAGTAGTTGGTGAGCTTCCTTCGATTAGCACTTCATTCCCCGATACACCGTAGCAGCTCAGCAGAAGGCACTGTTTTTTTATTTTTTTCCCTCTTACTTTTTAATACTCAAATTATTTCTATCACCCAAAAAAATTATTACAAACAATTAATACCAAATCCTACTTTTTTCTTTAAGAGACAAATAAATCCTTTGAACTCTTTTAGGCCCAATAAATCCTGTTTTTGAATTTTTTATTTTTTATTTTTAACCTAAGTCAATAAAAATCTTACATTGCTAAATTAGATATAAAATTTAAATAAAAATCTAATTTTTTAAAATGTTTTATAAAATATTAGATTTTTTGTTTATTATATTCAGTCCTCATCTAAATTCATTCGTAAGTACTTTTCAATTCACTGTATTTTTTGCTTCTTAATTCTTCAAAACACAAATATGCATTAATTTTTTACCAGCAAAGTTTTTTTTATTTGGCTTCTTAAAATCACCGTGTTTGAATATTCTTAGTTTTTGAAAAAAAAAAGACATATGTTTGTAAATATTTGCTTTTTAAAAGTATAATGTACACCACTAAAACAAGCAACCACACACACGTACCTGGTGCGAATATTTTGAGAAAATCGAATTTTTCTGATGAAGGGCTCTATTAATATGTGTATGTGTATAAGTATAAGTGGGAGGTGTAAAATTTTCTTCCAACAAAACCTTATTTACATGTGACAATTTATATACAACCAAACCACAATCCACCTTACAACAATTAACGTGGATGGTGTTTTTGGTTCTATTGTAACCCTTTTTTATGAATTCTTATCACAATCCACTCATTTGTTCCCCTCTTGTCCGACAGAACCATCCGCAACTCAAAAAATTGTGGATTTTCGTTAACTTTATTTTTGTTTGCTTTTGTATGTTGGGCTGACTTTTTTTTGCCCTTTCCGTAAGTGTAGCGTTTTTGTTTGAGAGCAATAATAATGGGACTATTCAGCATCCTAATCACAATCCTAATCACAAATCACGCAATCAGGAAATTTTACATTTAATAAATAAATCAAAAATATTTGTCGTTTTGTGATGAAATTAGAGGAGTATAGATTCATATCACATAGTAATTATTACAGGAGTAATCAAGTTTTATTGGTGTAAAATAAAAAACGAAGACTATGGATCATTCACTGTACAATGACAATGAGACAATCAAATGGCACAAAAACATGTGCCCGGCTAGTCAAAAACCCCACCAAAAAATCAAACTAGAACACCCCTTCATTAGCATAAAATACAAACTATTTACCCAAAAATTAAAAAAATAAATAAAATTTCATGATCAAATAAAGTTAATGAACAGTTTGAGATTACATATTGAATCAAGTGAGTGGACTAAATTAAAAACTTAAACAAATATTTAAAAATTAACTATTTTAATAAATTTAAATATGATAAAATTCAAGACCAACATAACACAAACTTAGCGCATTTAAGTTGAGGGTACCCTATTATAAACTTAATCATAGTTTGGAGATCGGAAACAGTTGATCATTTTAATTAAATACAAACATCTCTCATTACGCACACTCATTTAAAACTAAAAATAAAAACATTATACTACACCATACTGGACCACAAAAAAATGGGTTTCCGGATAAGAGTACAGGATAGACCCATAAATTTGGCGGGGCGACCTTTAGCAACTACTACCATAAATAGCTGACTCCCTTCTACACACACCAAAGCAAGCTTCAAATCCCACAGGGAGAGAACGATGAAGCTAAAAGTTTATGTCGATCGAATGTCCCAACCGTCTCGTGCAATTCTCATCTTCTGCAAGTAATCTTTGCTCACTCACTTATATATATATATATATATATTTTTTTGTTGAATTTGTAAATATTACGTTGGAATTGATATTACTTCATCTGTGGCTTCAATTTATTTTTATTTATTTCTTTCAATAAATTTTGGGCTGATTTGTGTTAAGTTTTTTTGGGTTTAGGGTAAATGGAATTGATTTTGAGGAGATCAAAGTAGATCTTTCCAAGCGTCAACATTTAACCCCTGAATTTGCAGGTGAGTCCTTGAATTTTTTTCTAATGAGTGCTTATGTCAGTATATGGTTATATAAGCTTATATATATATATATATATATATATATGTATTGCTCTATAATTTTGGAGCTTTGAGTATATACTTGTGAAGATGTGCGGTACTGGTACTTACTGATTTGATATCAAAGAACTTGAGATTAAAATACTATATGTTGTTGATGTTGTGGGCCTTATTTTGATCAGTAAAAATTGATCCAGGCAGTGTCAGAATAAGAGAGCTATAGAAAACTAAAACCCCCTTTTCACAATATTCAGATCACCGGGGAAAAAAAAAAAAAAAAAAAAAAAAAAAAACTCGGACTGAAATTTCTTTAATATATTGTTCTCCTAAGGTAAACGCGGTTTATCAGGTTATGGTGGCGTCTCCTAGGATATTATATTATCTGCAGCCACGGTACTGACCATACTCAATCAACTAACAATTATGAATGATTAGCTAGGAACTAAATTGCAAGAAAATAAGAAAAATAGTTGCAGGGATATGGAGAAAATGGAGTTGGGGTGTATTTCGATAACACAATACCTTTTACAACTTTGACACATAAATAGTGACAAGCAAAAGGACATGAAGAAGAAATCAGTATATTATCACACTTCTCTTCAAGTTATAGTGGCATGAAATGGTAGAGCTTTGAAGTCTACACAACTTAACATTTTGCACAGCATTGTAAAAACTTGTGCTCCCTTAATGTGTATACAGTATATTATATTGAATATTACATTCTTGCTAAGACTTGATAATGAAAGCTCCATGTTCTTTAAGCCATTCTTCTGATAGTGTAGTTGCATAAACTTATTATGTATTTCGGGTGACTAAAGAAGAAAATTTTGAAGTGTTTCTTATTGACAACCAATAACACGTTGTTACTGTATCTAAGGAGTTACTGCAATGAGTATTTCTTTTTCCTATTATGATTTCAGATGTAAATCCTATGAGACAAGTTCCGGCTATAGTCGAAGGCAGATTTAAGCTGTTTGAGAGGTACTTGCAGTTTTTTTTGTTTTTTGTTTTTTGTTTTTCCCTTTTCTTTTTCTAGTTATGGATTATCAACTATTGTTTGTCCCTCAATGATGTTAAAGTGTGTGCCGTGGGCATTTGTGTGCATCAATATTGATGCTTGAATGGTTCATGATTCATTTTATCTCGCAGTTTTTGTTGTTTGACTTATATTCTTTGGTTTTTTTAAGATAAATTGCTTTCTATTATACTTTTTTGGTAATCATTTGATTTACATTCAGCACGATTTCCGAAGCACAAAACAGGTGAGATGCAAAAATATATGCTGATGGAGGAGGACCAGTAGATGATCCTACTCAATAAAGTTTGAGTGAAAAACATCATCACGATTTGATGAATTTGGACTTTCTTATGGCATTTTTATGGGGACTATATAATCCTCCTCATGTTCGAATACATTCTTAGCAGATTTTTGTTTAACTACCTAAATGCATTGACTCTGATGAATCCAGTGTTCTTAAGCTCCATGGTAGTGCAACTGGTAAACATTTAGTTGCGGAGTACCTAATATAGGGTTGCTCCGCAAAGCAATCAATATATTTTAGATGGTAATACTCGCTGTGATTAGTTTGGAAGTTTCGTAGAAATATTCTAGGTGGGAAATCGTGGATTTAATTCATGTATGCAAACCATATTTGATAGAAACAAGTGCTTACAGAGGTCTATTAGGTTTTGAACCATAGCGAGTTTGGGGCCTCTTCTCGATTTATCCAGCTCGATGTCCTCTTTCTGTGGTGATAAACAAATTTTTAAAATTTTATTAATTTTTGGTTGTGGAGAGCCTGGAATTGCTCAATGGCTAAGTAGGTGTCCAATATCTCTAAATTGAAGATACAAAATGTATATAGCTTGAACCACAATATATTGGTATAAAAGAATAGAAGAAAATTAGAAAAATACCTGTTTTTGTGTGCATACTTTATCCTTTTACAGTTTCAACCACATCATGAAGTACCTCGTGGTTCTAATAGATCAAGTCACTAATTACATAAATGTCACAAGTGGAGTTATATCAATGCAAATTTCCTTGTTAGTAAAGCCATATTCTTTAGCTTTACAATTCACCAATAAATAAAACTTATACAAGAAAAATTATGTGATATTTTATAGTCCAAGCTTCTCTCTCTCTCTTTCCGTTAAAGTAGATTATTCCAATGCTTACATGGATGTGTATCTTTTAAACACTATGCATCTTGTACATGTTCTATAATTCAGATTGCAATTCTGACATAGCATGGGATGAATTGATAATAAATTTCTATTCTTTGATATCTCCCTGGTTTTTCTCAGTTCATTTGGTTCTATGAATATTTTCTATACTCCTTGAATTATAGGTTTTAAAGAATAAGCTGTAATTGAAACAAATATTGTAAATACTAGTCACCCGATATACTTGTGCTATGGTCCTCTAGAATTGTGCAGCAGTCGAGTAGCATGTTTCCCTAGTCTTGGTAAAAGTCGTTCTCAGGCATAAATTATTGAAGTTCAAATGTGCATTGGCCACTGATGCATTTTCCAAATTTAGATGTTTCCTCTCTTTTTCTCCCATAAATCTGTACTCTTTTTTTCCCATTCAGTTTTATATTCTGATTTAATCAGTTTGAAGACTATCTTATGAATTTAATGTGTTTCGCAGTCATGCAATACTTATCTATCTTGCTTGTGCATATCCTGGAGTTGCAGACCATTGGTGAGAATCGTTACTCCCTTTATTGCTATTGGTTTCAAATTAGAATCTATACTACATGAATACTTCACATTGCGAGAAGCACCAGCGTGTTTCATTACAGAGCATAGGTATGGGCGTGAGATATGTACCAACACATTCCCTGCAGGTGTCTCTTTGGATTTAGTAGCACATCTCATTCTTGTCTGCTAAAATATTCTTGGGTTCGCACGTAAAATTTGAAATGAGTACAGATGCCTTCTGTTTGAGTTTTGTAGGTTATAACCTAGACCTGGATTCAAGTTCCCCGAGGAACTTTAACATTGCGTTATTTTATGAAGTTGGTAAACCTCAAATCTCTGATAGTTTGCTCATATCTGAAAACGAAAAGTTTCCATGTAAGACATGCTATGTCACATACATACTTCATTTATCCCATCATCCCAGAGTACAGAAGAACATAATCGGACTACACCAATAATTTTGTCATCCCTTCTTGTCCTCAAATTGTAGGTTGGACAAATTCTACACCCAACCTGCATATGTTGTCCACACAATTTTGTTGTTTTTCAAAATATGTTGCTTTTCTCATTTAGAGGATTCTGTAGGCGGATTGTTAACGTAGTTTCTGTTCACTTTTAAAGGTATCCAAATGATCTATTCAGAAGAGCAAAGATCAACTCAGTATTGGATTGGCATCACTCAAATTTACGCCGTGGTGCAGGTGCTTCATATTTGGCTCCCTAAAATGTTTTTGATTTCTAGTCATGCCACCGCCACCATGTGTGGTCATGGCGAGTAATTGTGGAATGGAGAGGTGATCCTCTCCATAACACAGGCCACCTGCCTCCTGTCACACATGCCACCCTTTTTAAGTCATAAATAATAATTTTTGATGAGAAGTGAATCAGTGATCACTTGCAGGTGAATTATGGGTTGGTTGTGACAAAATTCAGGTTTTGTAAATTAGTTTGTAGCCACACCTTTGTATATAGTGTTCACCTGTTTCTTAGTTGTGGTGCCCCTCTCCACAAGTCCTTATGGTGCAATTATTATATATAATAGTACAAGTGAAAGGGAGACATTAGGAATAATATCTATTAGTGACAAAGTAAGAGCAAGTAGGCTTAGATGGTATGGATACGTTCAGCGTAGACCTGTAGATGCACCAATGAGAAAAGGAAGATTAGTTTACATGAAAGATGAGAGATAATGAGGCCGACCAAAACTAACTTGGGATTAAGTAATTACAAATGACTTGAAAAAAAAAAAATTTAAGAGAAGACATTGTGCGTAAGAGAATAGAATGGGAAAAGAGAATTAATGTGGCCAACCCCATTCATTCCCATTCTTTTGAAAGAAAGGCAACGATGATGATGAGTATTATTCCATCATTATTATTTTATAGAACAATTCTTTGCCCTTTTGCCCTTTTGGCCTTTTTAGTGGGTTATGGCTTTCTTGGTTGATAGTTTGATACCCTTTTCTTTTTCCCTTTTTTTTTTTTTTTTTTCAGTTTCACTTGTTCAAAATACTGTACTAGGACCTGCACTTGGCCTTCGAACTAGTCCACAAGCAGCTGCTGAAGGTGAAAAAATTTTGTCTGCATCTCTTGCGAAGATTGAATCCTTTTGGCTGAAAGGGAATGGGCGGTTCTTGCTTGGAAGCTTCCAGCCATCCATAGCAGATCTCAGCTTAGTGTGTGAAATTATGCAACTAGAGGTATTTGCATATAGTTTATTAATATTGTCATCTATATTTTTTCTCAAAAAAGAGACCGAAGTATTCATCTGCGTTAGAGCGCCCCTCTTGATTAGATTGTAAGCTTCAGAAGTACCGATGTCAAGAGAAAAAATATACATATCTATGGAAGAAACATATCTTCATGTTTTAAGAGAATTCTTTCATGATTTCTGACTGACTGGTCAACTGATATCCAGTTGTGTTTCTTGTTAAACAGAAACATACCTATTTATAGAAGTTTATTGCTTAGAGAGAATTTGAGTGATCAGGAAGCAACTGTAACATCTCATTAAAAACTTTTCTGATGGATTTAGGTTTTGGACGAGAAGGATTTCAGTCGAATATTAGGCCCATACAAGAAAGTTCAGCAGTGGATAGAGGATACAAGGAATGCAACAAGGCCGCATTTTGATGAGATACATTCAATCCTCTTCAAAGCCAAAGTGAGATTTCAAAAGGAGCGATCTGGGGGAACAAATGAGCCTGAGTCTAGCATGAAGAAGGGTTTCCTTTCAAAGATGTGAGAACAAATCTCTGGTCTTTTCTGTCCGGGCTTGATGCCTATGCGGAAGGGCAAATGAAGAAAACAGAGTCTAGTATAAACACAACTTTGTTACTTTATTTTGTTGTGATTTCTGTAATAAATTTCTGGTCTGCTCTATGAAATAAACTCTAAGCCAGATATTGTAGAATATTACCTGCAAATGAAGATCTCTTTTCAAGGATGTGATTATCTCTTGTCTAAGCAGAAGGCATTCCTGTTGATTGGTAGAATTGCAACTGTCCGATAATTGAAAAGCTTGGATAGCTCTTTTTATTGTTTGCCCTCACTCGCACACCTGACCTCTACGGTCACAAGAACCTATACACCGATGCATGAAACTCACACACAACGCAGCCACCGTGCCATGAAACATGAACCCGTTCAAATGTCGTGCTCTAAGGACCGCACAAAATGCAACAAGAAGATTAAAATGACTACACACCGAATAGCTCAATCCACGAGCTAGAAGACCAAGCCATCCGTTCGATAAGAACTGGCACCCAACAACCCTGGAGCAATCAAGCTCCTCGCCTGCCCAGGTCAAAACTCACACAACCATCCCATATTTGATCGCATAAATGCGTAAGAATATAGAAACATATACATATATGAAGTGAATGAAACTTACAATACCATACGAAACAAGTTTACACCTATCGTGCTCACTATTTGTCACATCATCCTTTAAAATAATATTGCATAAACCGTGCCTATCACTTGCCGTTACCATAACCCCTCATACTTATCATCATAACAAGGTCAGCATGCTTTCAATCATTATCATGGTAACAATATCTATTACTTTAAACACAGGCATGTGATCACATAAGAAATAAACAGGTAAGCAAGTAAGCATGCTTTTCGAACAATTTAAACACCTTACACATAAACACGTAGTTATGCAATTTAACTTCCCCATGCAATCCTAGATAGGCCTCTACCCATCGTCCTAATGGTTTTCGAACTATCGCTCTTATACCAATTTTGTAACGACCCGAACCCATGGGTCTGAACCGTTAACCTGATCCTTACCCGAACCCAAGGTCAACTAAGTCATACCATCTATTTCCTGTCTCTATAACTGTCAGACAAGTTAATCCATAGCCCAAAATGTTCTAAGACATAACCTTACAAAGAGGGTCAAATGCACAGGTCAAAGAAGAAGGGCCAGCTGACAGAGCATAACCATTCGGCACATAGTCAGTCAGTCTGACATACAAGATTGGTCGTTCTGACCTACATGGGTTCGGGTCGTTACAATATTAATCTTTATTAGGCAAATGTCTCTCCATAGCCCAGTGGGTTAGTACCACCGGTAGAATTTATTTATTATTGGCAGACGATTCTATACTGGCTCATACAAAGTACTACGCCATGGCTCTGCGAATATGGATGTTTGATCAGTCTCGTCGACCATCAATAATAATCAACCCTTTGCAATAGCACAAATCATTGTAAAATAAGGCTATTGGACGAGTAAGTCGAACCACTGGGATTGCTAGTTTATGGCAACCAAAATTGTAAAATCACTTTTAGTTTGATGAAAGGGGGTATAAGAGTTGTGTTTGATTTGTCACTAGAATTAGAAATTAAAATTGCATAAAACAATAATTTCAAGGAATTGAAGAGATGAAAATAATAAAGAGAGGACTAGGGAAGTGAATTCACCACCTACCATATAAACATGTTAGAATATGATTCATTTGGGAAAAACAACATAAATAAGTGGCCATGATATATAGTTACACATGGTTGCTACATTATCTTCAAGAAATTCAGGAAATCAATGGCAAGAATAACCTATCAAAGTTGCACATGCTTGAACTACCTAACTAAAGTGTAGTCTTATACATGCTCACTAAGCTAGAGATTATCAAGCCTTCAATCACATGATAAGAGCACATGAAGCCAAAAATCAAGAATAAACCATTTAAGGAAGAACCTAAGCCATGGCCTATCAAATTTCTCAACAACATGCCATTAAAACCATTCACAATCTCATTTTCATTGTCACCATGAAAATGCAAGCCATACAACCATGAGAACATACATTCTAAGACAAGATAGTAGATTCAACATGATCATTTATATCAATTTCAATTCATTACATCAAGCGCAAGCTCTAGATTATGGAACAACCACAAAAATACATCATTTTCCCCAGAATAGAATCAAAACTAGAATATGCTTACAATGAAAGGCTTCATCACCTCCCTAAATAGGGAGTTAGTTACCCATGGATGCAAGGAATGAAGGAGAAGAAGAGGCATCACCCTCCATTTTCGCACTTAGGGGCTCCTTAGCACACAAACCCACTTAAACCCAATATTTCTCTCTTTAAACTTAGCCAAAATATGAGATACCCCTCTAATATATCCCTTTAGCCATCTTTCTACCCCAAATATGTGGTCCTCCAACCCCCAGACCATTCAGAGCAATCCCCTAAATTAAGGGATTACATTTGGTGAAGAGAAAAGGAGACCATGCTGGCTTGTCTGTAAAAGAGGCGGGTGCCCGCGGACGAGGATGGCTACTAGATGATTTGGCGGGCGCCCGCGGGAGCATGGTGCCTCTGGAGACTTTGGCGGGCGCCTGCGGATTCCATGCGGGCGCCCGCGTCTGCTGGCTTCACTGCTTTCACCCCTTTTTACTTGAACTGCTTTGGATCGATCGATTGACACGGTCTTCATCCTAGGTATGATGCAGCAAAACTCACGAGCTCAATGAATCACTTGGCTTGGCCAAAATGATGGCTCCCAGCAACGGCGTGCTTTGATTCTTCAAGAATTCCTCAAAACTGCACTTTTAACTATTTTTGGGGAACCAATCCTGAAAGTAGACATAAACATACAAATAAAGCTAAAATATACATTATAATCAACTAATGGACTTAGCTAATGCAAATAAGGGCGCTTGAATATGCAATATTCGGCGCTTATCACACCCCCAAACTTACATTTTACTAGTCCCATAGCAAAACCAAAAATGAAACTCTTAACAAAAATGACAACATTTGAAATGCTATCAACATGCATCAATCATGGTGCAAGAAAATATATGCAGAGCTCAAATGTAACCTGGAACAGACAGAATATTGGAGACGGGATCATTAAGCAGACAACCTTGCATATATAAAGCCTTGATAAACAAAATGGCTAAACAAATTTTAATTCTCATACATCAACATCATAGTCTATATAAATACTTCAATTGTCATTTCTATAGTAGAAATCAACTCTAACTTCAGTGAAAGTGAACCGGATTCCCAATATGTGGCTTTTACCTTCTTTTTCCAATTTCAAAACACAAGCTTCAAATCATTGAATTCTCCTTTTTTAATGAGGTCTCTAAGGCATGAATTTATTTAAAAAACAACTTTTGCTGTTTTTAGCTATACCTTTTGAATCTTAAATTTGGAGATATTGGACACATACTTAGCCATTGAGCAATTCCAGGCTCTCCACAACCAAAAATAAAATTAAAAAAATTTGTTTATCACCACAAAAAGAGGATATGGAGCTGGATAAATCGAGATGACGCCCCAAACTCGCTATGGTTCAAAACCTAATAGACCTCTGTAAGCACTTGTTTCTATCAAATATGGTTTGCATACATGAATTAAATCCAAGATTTCCCACCTAGAATATTTCTACGAAACTTCCAAACTAATCACAGCGAGTATTACCATCTAAAATATATTGATTGCTTTGCGGAGCAACCCTGTATTAGGTACTCCGCAACTAAATGTTTACCAGTTGCACTACCATGGAGCTTAAGAACACTGGATTCATCAGAGTCAATGCATTTAGGTAGTTAAACAAAAATCTGCTTAGAATGTGTTCGAACATATGAGGAGGATTATATAGTCCCCATAAAAATGCCATAAGAAAGTCCAAATTCGTCAAATCATGATGATGTTTTTCACTCAAACTTTATTGAGCACGATCATCTACTGGTCCTCCATCAGTATATATTTTTGCATCTCACCTGTTTTGGTGCTTCAGAAATCGTGCTGAATGTAAATCAAATGATTACCAAAAAAGTATAATAGAAAGCAATTTATCTTAAAAAAAACCAAAGAATATAAGTCAAACAACAAAAACTGCGAGATAAAATGAATCATGAACCATTCAAGCATCAATATTGATGCACACAAATGCCCACAGCACACACTTTAACATCGTTGAGGCACTGACAAACAATAGTTGATAATCCATAACTAGAAAAAGAAAAGGGAAAAACAAAAAACTAAAAAAAAAAAAAAACTACAAGTACCTCTCAAACAGCTTAAATCTGCCATCAACTATAGCCGGAACTTGTCTCAAAGGATTTACTTCTGAAATCATAATAGGAAAAAGAAATACTCATTGCAGTAACTCCTTAGATACAATAACAACGTGTTATTGGTTGTCAATAAGAAACACTTCAAAATTTTCTTCTTTAGTCACCCGAAATACATAATAAGTTTATGCAACTACACTATCAGAAGAATGGCTTAAAGAACATGGAGTTTTCATTATCAAGTCTTAGCAAGAACGTAATATGCAATATAATATACTGTATACACATTAAGGGAGCACAAGTTTTGACAATGCTGTGCAAAATCTTAAGTTGTGTAGACTTCAAAGCTCTACCATTTCATGCCACTATAACTTGAAGAGAAGTGTGATAATATACTGAAGATGCAAGAAATTCATACTCTCTTTCTCTCTCTAGAATTCTTACATTTCAACAAAAAGATCCCCTTTCTTTCCATTCCTTCTCCTATTTATAGACATTTACAAATATTGACGGATTGCTGGATCTGGGCCTGTTCCTCCATAATTCCTGGTCACCTTTGATGGGCTTATTCGCGTTCGGCCCATATGGCAATGTCTTTTTATAGGCCGACCCAGCTATACGGACCGGATGTCGTATTTGCAAGTCATATCCGGCCCATGTCATCCTGGGCCTCTTCAACTGCCCCCATAATTGCCCCTTATTTAATAAGGGGGTAATTATTGATAGCGTCTCATCATGACGTTGACGGCTCGAGAAAACCACGTGGGGGAACGGATGGTCAGATCCAGAATCAATGTTCCGTGGCTCAATGAATTTCTCGCCTTCCTGACGCTTCGGCCCTCGGGTCCCCCTCGCCTTTATAAGGCTCTAGAATACCACTTCACGCCTTTTTACCGTCTCCATCATCAGTCAAATCTCTCTCTTTTTAGAACAGTGCTAAGCTTTTTCTGGTGAAATCCTTCAAGAGTCATTCTTCCAGCGATCTTGCAGTGCTCTTTGTTGTTCTCTACCTCAGAGGTTAGTTTTGTTCCTTTTTACTTTCGGCAGGCTTCTTTTTACCCCTTTTAGATCCTTCAAACACTTCCACCATGGTTGTAGATCTAGATGTTCTTCGTATGAGACTTAGACTTCCTGACGACATCGAAGTTAGGGTTTGCCCTAAGGATGTTAATATTATGACCGGTGCCGGCCTCCTGCCCGGCGAAGTTTTATTTACGAACCTTCAACTGAATGTCGTTAGGTTCCCTCTGCACCCCTTCTTTAGTTATGTCTTCAATAGACTGGGGATATCCCCCCTGCAGGTAAACCCCAATTTCTTTAGAATCATATCTGTTATGCTTCTGTTGATTCGTGACAGAAGTCTGGACCTTGACCTCATAGATCTTCTTCTGTGTTATAAGGTCAGTAAGATCCGAACTAATGAGCCCTTCTACCACCTCTACCCGTTCGAGAAGATGTCCATATGTACGGACACAATAAAATCTGAAAAGGGTTGGAGGGATAACATCGTGGGCATTAGTGGGGCTTGGTCTTCGCCGGCTGCAGAGGGTTACCCAATCCCGAGCGCCTTTGGCGTCTGTTCTGTTTCCTCATATAAGAAATTCAAATCTCACAAACATGATTGCCCCTGCGAAACATGCGTTCCCCGCTTTTGTACTTTCTTATGCCGCTCCTTAGGAATACCTTGTGATGACTTGAGCTACAGTGTTTGCAGGGATAGGAGTAATTACTTGAAGAAATACGTTCTGAACGATATTCCTTCCTGCTCAGACCTCTTTACTTCAGACAACCTCCTAGCGCTCTCATCACTCGGCTACAATATGAGCAGGCTTCAGATTCCTTCTTTTGGCAGGAAGAAAAATACTCCCCCAGCCACTCCTGCTGCTGGGGCAACCTCCTCTCCTGCATCAGCCTCTTCCTCAGCCACCATCTCTGACACTATCCCGAGCGCGGTGGCTACTGACTCTGTTGTCAGCACCCCTGCTGCCAACCCGAGCGCGTCTCCCCAAATTACCACAGCCCCTGCTGTCGCGGGGGGCGCTCGGGACAAAGAACGAGGCAAAAGGCCTCATCCTGACAGTGGAGTTGATACTGAGGAGGAACCTCTAATAAGAAGGACCCGGGTCTCCGGGCCGGGTGCTCTCTTGCATCGCCCGGTCAGGGCTCCTGCCCCCTCCGGGCCTATTACAGCTGGTGCCTCTGCTTCTGCTTCAGGCTCCCCTTCTCTGCCCACTTTACCACCATGGGCCCCTCGGTACACCCGAACGGATGGGACGTTCGTGAAACCGAACGAGACCATGCTGAAGGATGGCCAGACCGCCATGGCGTACTATAGGAGCATGTGGACTCCGAAAGACCTTGAGGCGGCGAAAGGCCTATCCCAGAAGGATGTGTTCAGCCGCTTTCCCCAATCTGCCATGGAGGTGACTTTTATTTTCCAACTTATGAATTCTCTCATATTATTTGGTCTTGTCTTCGCCCGACCCGACTATTGGCTTAACCGTTATTAATGTACATCTATGCAGACTTTGTTCGGAATGATGGCTATGCAGAAGCAGGTAGAGATGGGGAACGCCAGGGCTCGTAAATTTTCTGATAGCCTGGAGGTGGCCAATAAAGAAAACGACCTTCTCGCCAGCAAGAATACCGAGGTACTAGCTCGGCTTGAAAAAACTGAACAAGAAAGAGATGTCCTAAAGAAGGAGAACGACTCTCTTCAGGATGAGAATGATGCCCTCCAGCTGGAAAAGAGCGTCTGGCAGACTGAGCGTGACTCAATCAGAGACGAAAAGGCAGAGCTCCAGCGCCTTCTGGCTGATGAACAGTCTGCTCGGATGGCTTTTGAGAAGAGAGCTCTGGACGAGCGTACCGCTCTGATTGATACAATCAGCAGAGTGAACGGTGGGATGCTGGCTCTTCATGCTCGGTTCTCAAGGGTCGGCGCTCTTAGATATGCTCAAGGATTCCGAGAAGGTTTCTCCGACCGAGTTCCGGATGAGGGACAGACCAGCTCCACTCCAGATGAGGTTGACAAGGATTTAGGGATCGACCCTCTGGGGGTCTATGTTGACCTAGAACCCACCGAAGCGGAGCACATATTTGATGAGTGCCAGGACATTGCTTCCTCAAGGATCATTACAGCTCCTCCTACCGCTCTGTCTCTAACCGCTCCTCAATCGTCAACTGTGGTACCTCCCATAGCCACTGCTGACGTTGAACCCCAGCAGAATAATTCTGTCATTCATCTTGATTCCCCACCTCGTAAGGGTGAGACTGCTGATGGAACCGAGGAAGCGGGTCGGCACAACCAGGATGCTGTCGGTACTGAGGCAGCTAGCTAGGACTCCTCCGAACTCTTTGATTCCACACTTTTTTTTGTAACAATGTGACTTGAATATCTCATTTTTTGTAAACTCAATGCTTATTATAAATGAAATGACAGAACTCTTTTTCCCTTTTCCCTTTGTGTTGTGCTCTGTTCAACCTATATTCAATACATATATACCTTTTCTCTCTTTTCTTTTATATTAACTCTGTCGTGTGCTTGTTTATGGCAAGTGCTTGGCGTTCGGCTTGCGGTGCCAGCTGTCACTCTTCTTGCTCAAGTGCCTGGCGCTCGGCTAGAATGCCACTTGCCACTTGGCTTAAAATTTTTAGCAAGTGTCTGGCGTTCGGCTTATGGTGCCAGCTGCCACTTATCTTGCTTAAGTGCCTGGCGCTCGGCTAGAATGCCACTTGCCACTTGGCTTTAAATTTATAGCAGTGTCTGGCGTTCGGCTTGTGGTGCCAGCTGCCACTTATCTTGCTTAAATGCTTGGCGCTCGGCTAGAATGCCACTTGCCACTTGGCTTTAAATTTTTAGCAAGTGTCTGGCGTTCGGCTTGTGGTGCCAGCTGCCACTTATCTTGCTTAAGTGCCTGGCGCTCGGCTAGAATGCCATTTGCCACTTAGCTTTAAATTTTTTGCAAGTGTCTGGCGTTCGGCTTGTGGTGCCAGCTGCCACTTATCTTACTTAAGTGCCTGGCGCTCGGCTAGAATGCCACTTGCCACTTGGCTTTAAATTTTTTGCAAGTGTCTGGCGTTCGGCTTGTGGTGCCAGCTGCCACTTATCTTGCTTAAGTGCCTGGCGCTCGGCTAGAATACCACTTGCCACTTGGCTTTAAATTTTTAGCAAGTGTCTGGCGTTCGGCTTGTGGTGCCAGCTACCACTTATCTTGCTTAAGTGCCTGGCGCTCGGCTAGAATGCCACTTGCCACTTGGCTTTAAATTTTTTGCAAGTGTCTGGCGTTCGGCTTGTGGTGCTAGCTGCCACTTATCTTACTTAAGTGCCTGGCGCTCGGCTAGAATGCCACTTGCCACTTGGCTTTAAATTTTTAGCAAGTGTCTGGCGTTCGGCTTGTGGTGCCAGCTGCCACTTATCTTGCTTAAGTGCCTGGCGCTCGGCTAGAATGCCACTTGCCACTTGGCTTTAAATTTTTTGCAAGTGTCTGGCGTTCGGCTTGTGGTGCCAGCTGCCACTTATCTTGCTTAAGTGGCTGGCGCTCGGCTAGAATGCCACTTGCCACTTGGCTTTAAATTTTTAGCAAGTGCCTGGCGCTCGGCTAGAATGCCACTTGCCACTTGGCTTTAAATTTTTTGCAAGTGCCTGGCGCTCGGCTAGAATGCCACTTGCCACTTGGCTTTAAAATTTTTAGCAAGTGTCTGGCGTTCGGCTTGTGGTGCCAGCTGCCACTTATCTTGCTTAAGTGCCTGGCGTTCGGCTAGAATGCCACTTGCCACTTGGCTTTTTTTTTATATCTATTTTTTTTTTTAGCAACCCATTGAAGAAGAAAGTTATTTTTGTAAATTTCAGTAATTTGCACATTCATACGTACTTGATTGACAACAAACAACATCCAATTAAAGCCGAAACTTAGCTTTTATTGGTAGTACCTCTTCAGAGACGTGGCGTTCCAGGGCTTGCTGACCAACCTTCTCGCCATGGTTTCCAATGTATATGCTCCCTTGCCTATGACTTCTGCGATTCTGTATGGGCCTTCCCAGGGTGGCATCATT